TTTTCTACTTTCCTTCCATCAACTTCCAGAAAGCTTCTGGTGGATATGGACCGATCCGAGTTAATAATAGGAATGTTATTGCTGTCCCTTTCCTCAAACCAGAAGCTGAATTTGATCTTCTGATAGGCGATTGGTATGCTGGTGACTATAAGGTCAATTATTACTGCATGAATTTTACCTTTTTTTCTCTGTTGGAAATTATCTTTTCTTTTTAAATTCAAAATTTCCTTTGGTTATGTTGTTGTAACAGTATTACAGGACATTGTTGGGAACAGAGGTGAGTGCATTTGATGTCATTCCTGATGCTATTCTGATAAATGGCAAAGGCCCTTATGCAGATTCAATGTCAACAGCCCATGAATCTTTCACTGTTGAGAAAGGTACGCAGAGGGAAAAGAAAAGAGAAAAAAAGTGGGTTTATCTGTTGTCTGATTATCTTCAGATGCAGAGGTGATCCAAGTAAAAAAGTAGGGTATTCATGGACACCTTTAAAAATTGAAAAGCAAGGAAATTTGAAGGAAAATTCTTAGACACCCTTTTACAGAATTATTAAATCTGTTGACAATTATATATATATATATATATATATATATTATAAGTTGACACTTTCATAAAAAAAAAATCTTAGACCCGCCATTGTTCAGATGATATACAGAAGATTAGAATGTCGTAGACAAACTGTTCATGTTGATGAATTTGATGCTTTTAGGCGCTTTTGCATGTACACTGACTTTTAATTGTATGTTCTTCAGGGAAGACTTACAGGTTCAGGATATCAAATGTTGGAAGCACATTGAGTTTCAATTTCAGGATTCAGAATCATGCAATGTTGTTGGTTGAAACAGAAGGGTCCTATACCAATCAGATTACCCTGAATTCTCTTGATGTTCATGTTGGTCAATCTTACTCGGTTCTTGTCACAGTTGATCAAAATGATGCAGACTTTTACATGGTAGCAAGTTCTAAATTACTCGACACCAGCATCGTAGGTCTCGGGGTGCTTCACTATTCCAATTCCACCACACCAGCTAGTGGTCCACAGCCTGCCGGACCTGATGCTTTTGATCTGGAATTCTCAGTGAATCAAGCTAAATCCATTAGGTAACTGAGAGTTTTTATTTACCTTGTCAACATAAAAGAAATTCTATTTTCCAGTTTACAAAATGATTTTGTTTGGGTTAACGTTAACATGTGATTTTAACTTTGAATTATAAAACTTTTCACGATTTTGTACCTAAAAAAAATTCACCGTACCCAAACTTCGTTTTTCTCAAACATTTTGCCTTACATATTGATTTTATTAATGATAAGCTGATGTGGCAAAAAAATCGATAATTTGACATGTGGCATATTTTTATTGGTAAGTATTTGCCATGTCAGTCGTTTAACTATTGTTGCGAAATGCTTGATCGAAGCAATGTTTGAGTACCTAATTATGATTTTTTTTTATTAAGTGTCAAATCTTTAATAGTGTAGTTTAGGATCAAATTACATGCTAACCCTTTTGATTTCTTTAAAAGCTGTAGTAAAAATGCAATTGCTTTCTTGTTTTAATAGAGGCTTTGTTGTATGGTTCACTTAAATGTTGCTGATTTTTGAGAGCAAATGTAAAAACAGGTGGAACTTGACCGCAGGAGCTGCAAGGCCTAATCCACAAGGAACCTTTGCTGTAACAAATGTTACACTGTCTCAAACCTTTATCCTCCACAGCGCAAGGGCTGAAATCAATGGCGCACCACGTCTTGTCGTCAACAATGTTTCTTATTACACTCCTAATACCCCTTTGAAACTGGCCGATCACTTGACTAACGGATCAGGAGTCTATACACTTGATCAGTTTCCAGTTCAATCTGTCAATGCTGAAGCTGCATATGGAATATCTGTTGTTACTGGGAATCACAAAGGATGGATAGAACTTGTATTCAAAAACAACTTGGACGGTATAGATTCTTGGCATTTAGATGGTTTTAGCTTCTTTGTAGTCGGGTATGTATCATTTTCAAAGCTTGATTTCTTTATATTGATCCTTTTTTCTGGAGTCACACATGTACAGGGGACCAAAACTTGGGACCTCAAAGGATCTCTCAGCTTGTTGTTAGAGGTGTAAATGAACAGATCGATTGATGAACGCTTCGTGAGTAGGCTCAGTTTCTGTTCGTTTATTAAATTTAACAAATGATCATGAATAACATTTCATGGTTTGTTAAGTAAACGAACAGATTACGAACATAGTAAAATTCGTTCATTTGGTTCATTTACACTTCTACCTCTCCCACACTACATCTTGATTTGCACTGCCATTCAAATTATTCCTCAGGCAGTTAATCCCTCTTAAAAATATTTTAAGATTATCATATATAAAACTGTCATCATTATCATCATATATATTACCTTCGATAGCCCTTCAACGGGATGGCTGCGGGCGCATAGTGAATATCTGTTGCTCATGTTTTACTTGGTAGCTAGGAATTTCAGCTCTACTATATATCTTCTTGAACTGAAGAAGAAGAAATAAACACAACCATTAACTTGTCATACATATTATCAGCTTGAAAAAATATTTTTGATCACAGGTTTGGCAACGGAGATTGGACACCAGATTCACGCAAGACCTACAATGTTATTGATCCTGTTTCCCGATCGTCTACACAAGTTTATCCAGGTGGATGGACTGCAGTATATGCATTCCTGGACAACCCTGGGATGTGGAATTTGAGGTCTCAGAACCTGAAGAATTGGTATTTGGGTCAGGAACTTTATATCAGAGTCTATGATCCTGATCCTAACCCTGCCAAGGAGCATCCTCCACCCGAAAACCTCCTACTATGCGGTCAGTATACAAGTTTCACTATCTCATTGTTGTCTGCTACATGAATCGTATCAAGTTTGGTCTCTATGTTGAACTCATTTCCAATTTACAGGAATTTTTGATCCGTCTAATGCCCCTGCACCAGCACCTGGACCCAAAACCGGATTGTGATTGAAACCTGATAGAATGACAACTTCTGTTTAAGTTTGGTTTAATGTTACAAATATCCCTTGTATTATAGGAAAATATTCAATATGATACTTGAACTTTAAAAATCTTTAATGTAATACTTGGAAGGTTATTTGTATACTATATGTCATCATTTGGAGCTAATCATGTTAGGTGAATACTTAAACAAATTCATAATGTAAGTACTATATTACAGATTTTTAAAATTGAGGTATTGTATTGAATATTTTATTATATTTCATGGTTATTAATAACATTAACCTTTTAATTTTAACAGATTTTTGAGGGTTCCTTACAACAAACCCTTCTTTTTCTATAATCAACTACTGTCCTTTTGACTAATAAGTAATAATTTACATTTTGAGTGTTTATCTTAGGATTGGAGCTTGGAGTATGGTGTCATAGTGATATGATCAAACAGTTCTTATTTGTGATAATATGGAAGGTAGACGTCGTAGTAATAAGGACTTGGATGTATGGAAGGTAGACATTGTAGTAATAAGGATTTGGATGTGAAGTGTAGATAGATTCAGTGTTTGTGTCCTCCCAATTTATTTAGTTTAAGAAAAACTTGGAAAATCTTTTTCATTCAATCATGAAAAAAATCTTATAGAAAAGAAAAAAAAAAAAGAAGTTACGATCACATGGGCTTGGAATGCTAGTATTTGACCAAGCAATACTTCAACTAAGAGGAAAAAATATTATTTATTTATGTTACATAAAAAGCTTATTTGACTTAGGATCATATATAGAAACTGGAAAGATTGGTTTTTTAATCTTATAATAATTCTCATTCTCTTTTCCAAAATTTATGAAAATTTTAATTTAAACATCTAAAATTGAGATGTCTTTTAGAAAATAACAAGAGGAAATATATATAACGGGTATAAATTTCTGTCAGAAAATTTACGTTGCTGAAGCATATAAAAAATGGTGGAATAAATAAGATTTTTCTTAATATATGATATTTGGGTGAAGAAATCAAACTATAGGTGGACATAGACTGATCACTCTGATTATTTTTGCTGGTTATTTTTATTTTTACCCTCAAAACTTGAGCAATGATCTCATGACTTTGGTTTGATAAGAATAATCATGAAACTTTTATGTAATTATAAATATACTCACATTTATTGTGATTAATGATTTTTGGAATGATCCCAGTTAAATTCCGTGATAATTCTAACATATTATTTGAACTTGTGGGAATATTATTCATGATTCCATTGGAATCACATATTTTTTCCATAAAAAATAACAATTGCCAAAGATTAAAAAAAAAATCAGTAATAAAATACCTGTTCATTGAAAAAAATGTGTGGTTGGTTGTGATTCTGCATCAAAATCCTGTGATTATTCTCATTAAACCAAATTCCAGAAGGTCATTACCCCCGAAATCTATTATTTTAGGCATTGCTTTCCCTACAAAGGAAGTAAATCATTGACAAAGCAAGATACATAACTATATATATGATGCAAAGAACAGAACTTGAAGCAATTTTAATGAAATGAAATCTTTGAAAGTTGAATTAATTCAAACATAAGTGAGTTTTCTGTATCTTCAAAGATTTATTTTATTTAAGCCTAAGCTTAACTAAGTTGATTCATACATTAAGTCTGGGTTCAAATCCAGTACTTGCAATTTCTTTGGCCTCCTTAGTAAAAAAGGATTTATTTTATTTTATATTTTTGACAAACACAAAGCTTCGGTGTAGTAACTGGCGCCAACTGGTTCATTCTGATGAGAAATCAAGGCTTAGAATCAAGCAAAATTTTTTACTCTACGTTTCTTTTCATGTTGATGGACTGCCTTTGCAACATCCAAATTAGACTTCTTTTCTATATTTTTTATTAGTTGGCTCTTTCTGTTTACCCTGGAAGTTCCACCAAGTTATTGTATTTGTCCTGACCCAAGTTATTCTAGAGACTTTCATGCAATATTAAAATTGGACCTTTTCTTGTTCATTTTTTGAGGTCACAACCACCATTTTAGGCCATTGTAATGGCATTTTCCGGTGACTTCCCTAGGCTAATCATATCTGCTTTTATCTTTACTCTACTAATCACCACAATTAATGGTGTTGATATTTTCCTGGAGTGGCATGTCGCAATCGACACATCTGTTAGTCCATTTCCTGTAGAGCAGCCTGTAAGATTGTTAATAATTAATGTTATTTCTATTAAATCATCATTAAAATCTTGTTTTAACCGTGATTTTACAGTTTTTGTTAATTGTTTGTATTCATTCTGATATGTGTTCTTGATAGGTCATTACCATCAATGGGATGTTTCCAGGACCCCTCATCAATGCCACAACCAATGACAATATTCATGTCAATGTGCTTAACAATCTGGATGAGCCACTACTATTTACATGGTAAAAGATGAAAATCTTCCTTTCAGCTAAGTGTTTTAATTCTGCCAGACCAGGAAAGAAACATAGCGAAAAACTCAAGGATGTTGATGTTGCTGGTGGTGCAGGAATGGGATACAGCAAAGACTGAACTCATGGCAGGATGGAGTCTCAGGAACAAACTGTCCAATCCAACCTGGTAAGAACTGGACTTATGAGTTTCAGGTCAAGGACCAGATTGGGACTTTCATTTACTTCCCCTCTATTAACTTCCTGAAAGCTGGAGGAGGATTTGGTCCAATTCGAGTTAATAATCGTGAAGTGATCAAAGTTCCATTCCCCAAACCTGAGTCTGAATTTGATCTTCTCATTGGTGATTGGTATCAGAAAAGTTACAAGGTAATTTACAATGTCTTTTTATTGCCTGCACTTTTTCAAGGATTCCCTGCATCATGAGAAGAATTTCAGGCTACAAGCTTCTTATTTCAGGCTAAACAGTTTACTGCTTCTTCATAATATATGAATGCAACAGGAAGTCAGGTCCATGCTGAAAAACAGTTCTGTGGCCTATGATGGCTCTCCTGATAAGATCCTGATAAATGGGAAGGGCTCTTATTTCGACAATGATTCAAAAGCCTTTGAATCCTTTACCGTAACAAAAGGTACAAAAATGAAAATGATCATTTCTATTTATATACTGATATTTGGCTAAAAGAAAAAAGCCTCTTTTCTTCTTCATTTCTTATAATTTGCTGATGGGGTCCGCAGGAAAGACTTATAGATTCAGGATATCAAATGTTGGAACTGCCTGGAGTTTCAACTTTAGGATTCAAAATCATCAGATGGTAGTGGTGGAAACAGAAGGATCATATGTCGATCAGATCACACTGGATTCTCTTGATGTACATGTAGGCCAGTCTTATTCTGTACTTGTCACAGCTGATCAAGGTGAAAAGGATTATTGCATTGTGGCAGCTCCCAAAATGATCAATGCCACCGAGTTCAGTCTTTTTGGTGTAGGAGTGCTGCACTATGACAACTCCATCATTCCAGTTAGAGGACTTCCACCGGGGCCTGATCCATTTGATATCCAATTCTCTATTGATCAAGCTAAATCCATCAGGTAAATGCTTTTCAAAGGACAAAATTTCCCAAAGATGTCTGTCTTGCTAGTCATTGGCACGTCTCAGACATGAATATATATAGGGAAAACTTTCATAAGTTTTTCTCAGAACTAGCAATTCATTTATCCGTACCTATTACCTATAAAATATAAAAATTGTTGTGTCACAATTCATGTCTACATGCCAAACATAAAATAAATTTTTTGATTTATGCCAAATTCATATATGATTTTTACTAAAATTTTAAAACGTGCTACTTTTGTATCTTTGGTGTGATTTATGATTCTATCTTCTATTGCTCACATCCTTCTTCTGTTCTGTGTTAAGGTGGAACTTGACCACTGGCGCTGCTAGGCCTAACCCACAAGGAACCTTCAATGTTTCAAACGTGACATTGTCACAAGCCTTCATTGTCCAAGGATCAGCTGCTGAGATCAATGGAACACCTCACTACACAGTCAACAATGTATCCTACCTTACACCGGATACTCCACTAAAACTTGCTGATGCCTTCGCCAATGGGGGCAGCGGGGTTTTTGAACTGGACAAATTCCCCACAAACTCTTCAAACCTTGAAGCTGTCGGTGGAGTTTTTGTAGCAACTGGGATCCACAAAGGGTGGATAGAGCTTGTGCTCAAGAATGACTTGGAAGTCATAGATTCTTGGCATTTGGATGGATTTGGATTCTTTGTAGTTGGGTAAGTAAAAGTAGAATAGATTTCAAATTCATACCCATAATTAGACTTAACAATTCATGTATCAATGTCAATCTATTTCATATCTAACATGAATAAAACACAAAAATGATCATGTCACAATTTGTGTCATCATTTCAAGTATAAAAAACATTAAAATTACCAGTTCTACCCAGAATCTAGATGTACCCGTCTAATCATTTTCTTTTTAACTTCTTTCAGGTTTGGCGATGGAGAATGGACGCCTAGCTCTCGCTCTTCTTATAATACTTATGATCCTGTTGTACGTTCCACGACTCAGGTGACATGTTTCTCACTATGTGTTCCATTTTTCTGCTCAACCACTTGCTCTTAGTTTTCTACATTCATGCACTCATTAAATCTAGTTGTGATGAAAAAATGATCAGGTGTACCCTGGAAGATGGACTGCAGTTTATGCATACCTAGACAACCCTGGAATGTGGAACTTGAGATCACAACTCTTGAAAAACTGGTACTTGGGTCAAGAGCTCTATGTGAGAGTTTATGATCCTGATCCTGACCCTGCCAAGGAAAAGAAACCCCCTGAAAATCTCCTCCTTTGTGGTTAGTGGCATGAATTTCTAGTTATTTCTTGACCTTTGTTATTTCTTCTGATTAATATTTATGCAACTGTTAAACATGTGTTTTGATTATTTACAGGAATCTTTGGCTCTCCACCTCCATCTCCAGCTCCTATGGCCCCAACAAAGAGTGGAGGATCATCCAAACAAATAACGTGGTGAGTGAAAAATTTAACTAGTAATAATTCATTCCCATGCATTTCAAGGCATTCTTTGAATATGCGCTTATATATTCTCATGAGATTAATACTCTATACATTAGCGGTAGAGCCTAAGAATTTCATCCATGGGCCGGCGGATGGTCATTAGATTCAGCGGGGGCCTTGGTCTCTCAAAATTTGAGAAATCCCTACATATGTGCACATAAATTTGAATAAATTTAAAATGATTCCTCAAAATTAAGATGATTAATTTTTGTAATTTTATATTTAATTATATGCATTAATTTTAGAGGATTAAAATCACATCGCTATTTATCTATTTATTATACTTACCAATAATTATGTATAAACCTTTAAAATTAAGAGGTTTATTATAAGTTTTAAATTATAATAATTTGAAATTAATAAAAATCAAATTAACTTTTGAGTATTTCAAACAAGACTCTAAATCTCTAATCAAATATTAAACATATACGTGTTTTTCTTTCATTTTTTTTAGCTTACTATAATTTTTTTTGTATAATATTTTCAATTTTAATTTTACTCTAAATCTTTATCTCATCTTATAATCTTTAAAAAGAAATGGAACCACTTTATAAACAATTTTAAAAAACCATAACTTCTAATCTCAAAATTTTAATTTTATTATTTTAAAAGGATATTTCTTTTCTTGCTTTGATAAAAAAATGTTACTTTGATTTGTTTATACTTTTTTATTTCAGCTTTAAATTAACAAAAGAATAAAAAACGAAAAAAAGTTTGTATTATTGAAAGTCTTGTTATTTTTAAAAGTTTAATTTTATCATAGTAATATTTTTATTTTATAATTTTATGAGCATATTAATTCTATTAGTATATTGTTTATATATATATATATATATATATGAATAGAGATCAATCTATATCAGTATAAAACAAATGTTTTACACTCTTTTTATAACTTGATGTAAGATTAATATTTTTGCAAATCAACTGTTATATTTAATGATTTACTTATATTCGTTATGCGTGTAAAATTTCGAGTCAATATGATATCTTATAATTTTGATTTTTTTTTATATACAATAGAATTCATAAAATAAATCTTATGAAAAAAATAGGATATAATATTAATTGGTCCATCCAAAATCAAATGTCAAGTTCCACCATTGATTTCATCTGTTTATGATTTTGTGTAGATAAGATAATTCATGTATTTGTATTTGTCTATTTCATGTGAAAAATATATAAAACATGAAAATTATCATATTATAATTCATGTTATGTCAAACATGAAAAGCTTTTTGTTATTTTTACTAAATTTATATATAATTTTTGTTAAAATTTTAAATCATATTATTTAAATATTTTTTTATATTGTCATTGTGCTATACTTAAACTTGACAGACCTAATTTTGTGGCTTATAGAATATGCCAATTTCACCATCCAGTATCTATAAAATGCTTATAGTCACTGGTTTCATGTTCGTAGGTTCAACATTATGATATCTACATTGTTACAATTGTTTGCATCACAAAGGCAGTACTGTCGATTTGAACCTTTTATTCAATTCCAGCCTGGATAGAGAAATCATAAACACAATGACCTTGATGGACCACCTAAACATTATTAGGGTTTTACTCTAGATTGAAGTTCCATTTGAGAACTAATATTCTATATAAGGGCCTTATGGATTGTATGATGTAAATTCTTGTTTTTTAATTGGATTATTGGAATATTAAGGTTAGAATTTTCTATCCTGAAATAGTCCATTCTCCTCTGTTTTCTCTCTTTTTCTTTTTCTTTCCCTCTGTATTTTTCCCCTGTTCTTCTCCAGGTTTCTATCTATTTCAAACCTGGTTCTGCATGAATTTGTAATATCAGAAGTTCCTGTTATGAACAAGACTCAGACAGTCCTACAATGATATCACTTCAAAGATGAAAAGCCAAGGAAAATCATAACAATTTCATTAATATATAATCTCTCTAAAGTAGCATAAAAAGAGATGGTTTTGGTGACTTTGCTAAAATCAAAAGAAGTCAAAATTCAAAACCAATTTAATTGATTTATATTTTCACTTTTAAGAGATATTATTTAATAAATATAAATTCAACTTTTAACACATACAATTTTTTTTTAATCTCTAAATTATAATATCTTTTTATAAAAAAAAAAATCCTAGCAAGCAAATGCTAGGGACGGAGTTTGCAGCAATATAATTTATTTTGTGAATATCTATGTTTTATGTCTAACTTGACATTGTGATCATTTCAAGTTTCTTTTTGACATTGGGATTGAGATGCAAAAGGACAACAGCAGTGCAAAGCTTGAAAATGTTCTAAAACAGCTTGGCCTGCATGACCACAGCCGAACGATGTCATGGAATATATATATATAAATATATATATATATATATTTATTTATATAATTTTACTTGCACCACAATCGCTTTTGGCTGCCTCAAAGAAATTTTTTTTTTTAATATTGAGATTAACAGAATTTAAATTTTAAATATTAAAATTAAGAATTCAAAATTTTATTTATGTGATTGTTTGAAAAATGTTCAGTTTTATGGTATCATGAAAAACTCTTTTGGTACTGTGACGCCGACCATCCAACATCCAACAATTTGGTTGGTCAATAATTAGAATTTCATTTATCTATCTATATATAAAAATATAAATTATAAAAATATTAAAAATGATCGATTAAAATATTTTTATGAATTTTTAAATTAACAAATTTATTCTCAAATAATTAATATTTATTAAATTATTTAAATTTAATTCAAATCAATTAAAATTAAAAATATAGATTATATAAAATTAAATTACTTAAAAATTTAAAATTTTAATTCTAAAAACATTAAAAATGATTGACTAAAATATCTTAAGTAAAATTTTTTTAAAAATTTTAATTAAATTAATTTTCTTTTTTGTTACTAGACATTTTTATAATTAGATTCAAAAGTGCTAAAATGATTGACTAAAATATATTTAATAAAATTTTAATTTAAAAAATGTTAAAAGTGATCGATAAAAATACTATTTGTAAATTTTTTATTTTTTTATAATTAGACTCATATTAAGACCAAAAACATGATTTTCAAATCAAATAAAATTACAAATATACTAAGATTAAAACTTAATAGTGTGAATAGGAATAAGGCAATTACATGGAGTTTATTTCTTTATTGTTATAAAAACAATTGCACAGTAATTTATATTGATAAATAAATTCATTAAAAATAATTATACTTAAGTCATTGAAGCATTTTTTTTTATTTTTTGCCTTTTTATTTTTTTGTTTTAATTGATTTACTAATTATATATGTATATTAATGATATTATTATTTGTGTGATTCAAGAGTTGATCATTTAATAATTGATAACATAATTAAAATCTTGTTAGTCACTTGAAATAATTCTTTAATATATATCATTCATATAGTTTAATCCGATCTCTATAATTAATTTTTTTTTTATTTTTTCCTTTAAAATTTTATAATTGTTACTCCTATAAATAAAAACTAATATCAAATTAAATGTAAATTAATTGCATATCTTTTACCAACAAATAGTATTATGTGATTTATTTAACATTTTGAACATTTCAATTAAACTCCTAACTTCTAAAATTAAATGATTCATGAGGTGGGTAGCTCAAGACCAAATTACCATAAAAATTATTTACTTGGACTAATTTCTATCTCAAAATAATTTAATCTTTCTCAATTATATTAAATTACTAACTTTTTGATCATCTAGATGATTGAATGATCTAATATGAATTATTTTAAATAGATAATTGTTAAGTGAAGTAAGATTAAATATTTTTGGTAAAATTTTCAAAATGTGAAAAAAATTAATCATCTTTTGAATGTATTGGGCAAAGTTACATTCATTCATAAAAACCAATGTTATTATTGTTGAAAATGAAATCATTATAAATTATATATATGCTATAAAAACAAGTTTGTTATTTTAGAAATTGGAGTTTTCTTAAAGAAGAAAACATGACAAGTAACTCGGTTAGAAATTTATTTTATTTTAATTTTTTAAAATTATATATTTTTAGTATTTTATATAATAAAAATTTATGTATAATAAAAAATTTCAAATAAAATAGAAATTAAACTAACAATGGGTAGAATGTATAGTTACAATCAATCGGTGGAAGTATCCAAAGAAAATTATCTTAAACCAAAAATAAAAAATGAGATGTAAGATTAATTTGTTATGTATAGCATTATCTTTTCGATATGACAAATAAAGTTAATATTATATGATATTTCAATGAAAAATATATAAATATATTGATTTCAAATTTTTTGGATTAATATGAAACTCTTTTATTAGAAAAAAAATATTGTCTATTTCTTTGTTTTTTTTATTATATTAGTTAAAAAATTTTCACTGTAATACCTAAAGGTGGCAAAGCTAATCTTAGCTTGAAATTTTGCTTGAATTTATCTGTGATTGAATCCAAATCAACCCAAATTGACAAAAACAAATCAAAGATCAAAATCCAAAAAAATTCGATTTGAAAAACTTTAAAATTAAAAAATTTCAAATTCAAAAAAATTTAAATTCGAAAAAACTCGAAAACAATGCAATCCAAATCTGCAATGATTCAAACTCAAGATTGATTCAATATAAAATTTGTAAAAACTCGAATCATAACCCATGGAAATCGAAATTATAATTATATGATCTTTTAAATAAAAATATTTTTCTTAACTAAAAATTTTAAAATTTAAAATGTTATTATTGATAATTATTAAATAATTATATCAACAATAATCAACAAAATTAATGTTAAAATTTTAATTTTGATTATAAAATAAATTTAATTTAAAACCCACTAAATATTAATATTTAATTATTTTTAATACTATTATCTCATTATATTTATAATAATTATCAATATAAAAAAATAATATCCTTAAGTTAACATTTAATTTTATTATAAACTAACCTTTTACAATATATTCTTGATTCATTATATTTATTCCATATAAATAAATTTTAATTTTAATATATTAATAATTCAAATAAAAAATTATATCATAATTTTAATATTTGATTTAATTTGATGGTTTGAAAAAAAATGCCATTATTAACAAAAAAATTAACTTTAAATTATATATTTTTAATGTTTCAAACATATTAAATTAAAATATTAATTTTTTTTAAAATAAAAAACATTATCTTAAAAATTAAAATATAAAAATAAAAAAAAATAACAATACAGTATCCAAACAAAAACAATAAAATAAAAGACATTTTTCGATTCCTAAAATCAAATTAACAAAATTTTCGAATTTCTAAAAATATTGCATCATCAACAAGATCAAGTCTCCCGATCGTTCAAAATTTGACCCTGCAAATTACAATCAAGATAACACAATAGCCTTCCCCTTTACTAGATCCGGTGGTCGGCCGTTACTTGTCTCCAAATTATACCGAAGTCTTCCCCTCAACCTCCTAAACACCGTTCCGAGCTTACTTTTTCCTAAAATGGCCTCAAGAAGCCTATATCTGCCCTTAAAAGTTTGGCCAAAACACCTTAAAATCTCAAGCTCTGCCACTCCAAATGCTGCCCGTTCGAAGTATGTCCTTTATCAGACTCCATCGTCACCAAAGATCAAGCCATAAAACTCTTACAAACTCCTAATCCGCAAAAAAAACCCTAAACTGAAATACCCTTTTCGCTTTTTTTGTTTGCTTTTTTGCCGATGTTCCCCACTAGGGGATGGGTGATGATATTTTTTGTATTTTGCTATTTTTGACATTTTGGGGGGCTGTGGGTTACTGGACAGGAAGGGTTGGGAATAGTGTGTTTGTCATGGGCCGATGACGGTAGCTGAGTTTGGTGAGTGTGGGGGCGGTCGACGGTTGTAGTTTTGTTGGTGGTGGTTGTGTATGGGCATGCAAGCTGGTGGCGGTAGTGGAGGGCTTGACTTAATTTAGTGTGTTGGGTTGGCGATGACTAGTTTTGAGTGTCATAAATGATGGTGGGTAGGCTAAAGTATGGAGGTTAAAGGTTGATCAGAAGGCTCTGGCCTGTGAAGTCTCAGCTAGAAAATAGGCAATGAGGATTTTTATCCAGGAAAATTGGCTTTTATTTGCCTTTTGCTGCCCCGTTTAGTGCTTGTAGCACCACAAGAATTCAATTCTTTACAGGACTGCAGCAACGTGACGCTACATTTATGACTTTGTAGCTTGTGGAATATGGGACATTGGGTCTTTTATCAATGAATGCCAAAAGTTAGTAGGCAAAATGGGAGGTGAAAACTAGAGGGAGAGCTAGGAATGGTGCGGCCAAATGGGGAAAAGGAAAAGTGAAAATTGGGGTAGGGAAAAGTGAGAGAAGGCTGCTGCCATGTTAGCTGATCCTCTGTCTTTTTTTGATCAATTTAAAATATGGGCCTTAAAATTAATTTAGAATTTTTTTAGGTTTTTGGAAGTCCAAATGACTAGAATTGGGCTTTAAACCTAACAGAATTGCATTGGGTTCTAAAAATGAATTTGAACTTATTATATTTTAAATTTGTAAGCTCAAGTAATTAAATTTTAAATTGATTCAAATTAAATTGGGTTAGATTTTGATCCGTACAAAATTTTTAAAAAATAATTAATTTATAACAAATTTCAAATGAGTCTAATTATATAGATTCAATTAAAGTGCTCTGATAAATTCAAATCGAAACATTAAATCAAATATAAAAATTGATGAACTTGATTTATTTTAGACAAAATTAAATATCTATATATAAAAAATAATAAATTGAGTTTGTATCATTTGTGTTGATTCGAAATATTTATAAATATATATAATATTAACTAATCAAAGTAAATAATTAAATATCATTATTACTTGAAAATAATTATAATAAAGCTGTGTTCCCAAGAAAAAAAAAAAAAGAGTGCGAGGACATTGGCTTGTTCCAAAGTTTTACTTTGTCGGTGTATATATACAAGAAAAGAATAAAGGAGCTTATAGAAAAAAAAAGTAATAGAAAAGCCTAAAGAGCAATTAACAAACACATTTCTTTGTTTTGTTATTTGTTTGAACGTCTAAAGGTTTCAATAAAGTAAAAGGTTTGATATAATAAACTAAAACCTTTTAATTTTTTATGTGATATTTTTGTACTATGAAAAATAAAAAGGTATTTAAATTAATCATATTAATTATTTTGACATGAAATAATTTTCAAATAAAATAAGCATGCAGAATAAAGTAAAATATTTAGTTAAAACAAAAAATCACAATTGGATATTTGTCAAGTCCATTTTAGTTATATAATACTTATATATATATACATATATTAAACTTAAATCTATATGTTTGTGAAAATATAGTATTGATAAATTTATTTGTTTTAAATTAAAAATAATTTATAGTAAGTAAACTCAAGTTAAAAAGTTGTAATATTTTTTTTCAAGTTAAGATTTGTAATTAATTGTTTAAAAATATATGTTTGTGAAAATAATCTAAACTTTATATTATTAATTTGTTTTTTTCATTGTTAAAAATGACTTAATTTTTAGTTTTCAACATCAAATTCTTTTTTAAACATTTTAATTTTTCACAACATTTTTTCATAATAATGTTAAATATAAAAAATTTCAAAATATATTTTTTTCACAACAATTTTTGTAACACTTTTCAACCACATTTTTTTAACATAAAATTTTTTTAATCACAACAATAATGCTAAACTACCGTTAGTCACGTTTTTATGCATTGCTTTAAATTGGGTGAGAAATGTTTTGAGCAAAGTTCAAAAAGAGTAAGGCAAAGTCCTTTCCTTTTTCATCTTCTGTCAATTTCAAGGTTTTCCTTTTGTTCAAAAGTTATATTCTACGACTTTTTTTAATAAAAAATAGAAATATGAAAAAAATTGCTGAAAATCCACCGACAATCATTAACATTCCTAATCTGTCTAATAATAAATACGTCTAAATTTAAAATTTAATTTGTTACATTCTCGTAAGTAGAATTAATATTATAAAATAAAAAATTTATATTTGATATATTATCAGATGTTATAAATCATTAGTGCATCATAAATTGTTATATTATTAATTTATTTTAATATAATTAAATATTTAAAATATAAAAATATTTACTTTTAAAACTTTTAAAATTTTTAATTTTTAATGATTACGTGGACATTGACGGTGTTATACATTGACAATAACCCATAAAACAAAAGCCTCAAGTGGCATCTGATTAACTTAAAACGAAACATTTACATTTATTTAAGGATTATTAGCACTAGCAATTCGTGTTATGATAATTTTTTTGGCTAAGCTAATTCATTAATGATTCTTTATGCCCTGCAATAGCACATATGATCAGTTATAAGATTAAAACTGTGATAACTGTTGGATAACAATATATATATATATATATTATATATATATATATATTTGTTAATGGCAGTCCCGGGCATTAGGATTATCGATCCTAGCTACTAAAACACTAAACTTCTCCTAAAAGGGAGTCTGGAATGTATGGAAATGAAATGAAGAGAATTTATTGTTTAGTGTAAAAAAAATCCTAGTATATAATAAAATATTATAATTAAAGTAATAAAAATAAAAGCAATATGCATGACTTTGAAGTTAGAAATATTTTAAAACAAATTGAATTTAATGGATAAAAAAACTTTTAAATTTATTTTAATTTAGAAAAGATTTTGTCTATTTTGATCAAAAAGTTATAAACGCTACAACTTTTAATTTCAAATATAAATATTTTGTTTTTTATTTGAATTTAAAATATAAAAAAAATTTATACACTATCCTATATATCATGAACAAAGACTTTCTATATAAACATTCACCTCAATATATCTTATCCGATTATGATATATTTCGTAATATAATATATATCATATAGAAATCTTATATTTTGTTAAAGGCTCTGTCATTAAATGCTTTAATGGTAATCGACTTTGGATCAGTTGGTGTTTTGCTGTAGTAATTTAAACATGATTAGACATTTTAAGGTTTATGCATTACATCGATTGAAGACTTAATCAATATTTGGTACTAATTCTTTCCTTAACAAAAGAGAAAAGTACTATATCAGTCAAAGTGAAAGATTTCAGGAATATCTACACTTTAATAATATTTATCTTTTTTTTTTTTTTTCTTTTGCAATCCCTTACTTGTTTTGGGTATAAATGCATATAAAGAGAACGAAGTAAAATATATATTCCTTCTTTCTTTTGTCACGGTGAAGATTTCTACAAGGACATTAACTTGTGTTGGTGTTCTAATGTTTGGATTGTTAATAAATAAATAAAAAATATATAGGAAAGAAAAGAATAAAGGAGTTTTTTCTCTGGTTATAAATATTGATCAACAAAATCTTTCTTTATATTTGTAAGTGTTGAGTTAAGATCTGTATTGATTTGATTCATTAATTCAGAAATGGAGATGCAAAATGAGAGGGAGAGGAAAGTGCAGCAGCTTAAAGATATTTACCATGAGCATCAACCCTTGGTGTTCAATGGAGATCAACAGTGGGATCAAAGTAAAGAAACTCTTTGCTCAGCGTGTGATCGTCTATTGTCTGGCGAAACCTATAGCTGCAAAGATTGCGAGGATTATCATATCCATAAAAAATGTGGTGAGGCTCCATTGGAACTTCATCATCACCCTTTTCACAGCCAGCACGCTTCTCATGTTCTCCAATCATCATCTGGTTCGTGGTATATTTGTCGGTTGTGCCGGAAAGACGGTAAGGGAATTAGTTATGAGTGCGACTCTTGCTTTTTTTCCCTTGATATCAACTGTGCTTTACTTCCACTAGTTGAAAATTCTCAAATATTAAAACATGATGCCCACCCACATCCATTGTTCTTCATTCAGAATCATACAGATGAATTAAAAACATATGATTGCGAAGGTTGCAACACGTCCTTGGTCGATTCTATATATGTTTGTGCTGATTGTCGATTTTTTCTTCATAAGAAATGTGCTGAATTACCCACTGAAATTAATCTCCCTTGTCACCGCGATCACGCACACCCTCTTATTCTTGATTTTGATTGCAAATACTGTTTTTGCAAGTTTTGCCAAGCTGAACATTGGGGATATTTTTATCGCTGCTCTCATTGCAATATTGACATTCACATGAATTGTGCTTGGCCGGACCCTGTTATTGAAGATAAAATTCATCATGAGCACCCATTCAACTTGTTTTGGAGACAAGACCCATTTATTTGTAATGCATGTGGTATTGAGGGGAATTATGCCTCCTATATATGTTTTATATGCCACCTTCAAGTCCATCCAAAGTGCACTTCACTTCCACGCATCATCAAAATCACACGCCATAATCATCCTATTTTTCACAACTATTTTGTTCAAACAAAAGAGTTTGAAAAGCAGGATTGTCAAATTTGTTTTGAGGAAGTGAAAACAAGGCACGGTAGTTATTACTGTTTGAAGCATGATTTCAATTATATTGTCCATGTGAATTGTGCTACTGAAGATGATGATTGGTACTACATAATTGATCCTGAAAATCAAGATGAGGCAGGTGAAAATTCAGAAGTTATAGAGTCTTCCATCACTCGTATTGTGGAGGAGAATGAATGTGGAGTCGCGGTAAAGATAAAACATTTCAGCCACGAACACTGCTTAATGTTAGGAGACAAGATTAATGGAGATGATGATAAATACTGCGACGGATGTGTGCTATCCATCTCGGATTTGTTTTACTATTGTTCAGAATGTGATTTCCTTCTCCATAAAACTTGTGCTGAATTACCAATGAAAAGAAGCCATTTCTGGCATCAACACCTCGATACCCTTAAGTCAGAGGGTATTTTCAAATGTGATGCTTGTTCTCACCAATGTAGTGGTTTTGCCTACAACTGCGATGAATGTGAATTCTCTGCTTGCCTCAAATGTGCCAATATTTCTGATACCGTCATGTATCCAGGCCACAAACACCTTCTCTTTCTTGATCCCAAATATGAAGGAAAATGCACTGCTTGTGGTGTTGAGTTTGATTATGCATACAGATGTACTAAGAAATGCAATTATGCTTTGCATTGGAAATGCATTATACTTCCGCACGCAACGCCACATAAGTTTGATGAACATTTCCTAAAACTTAGTTATCGTGACGAAAATGATGATCCGGAACAATGTTTCTGTGATATTTGTGAAGAAAAAAGGGATCCAAATCTTTGGTTTTACCATTGCTCAATTTGTGATGCTTCTGCCCATCCTGAGTGTGTCCTCGGAGAATATCCGTCTATCAAGATTGGGAGCAAGTACACATATAAGGATCACCCCCATTCCCTCACTTTTGTCCGGAAGATTTACGAATGTCCTGAATGTGATGAATGTGGTGAGCCTTGCCAAGATCTGTCCCTTGAATGTGCTCCATGCAACTACATAGTCCACTGGAAATGTATATCACCAATAGATTGAAGACTACGCCGACGTGTTGCAGAGAAGCATCCATGGCATATGGCTGGAGAGAAGCAGAGGATTTTGTTGCTGATGTCTAAAAGAAAGATTATGTGCAAGTGTTTTGAGTAATGTTACAAATACAAGAACAAATAGATAGAGTGTGGCGATTGCCTTGTTTGGATTTTTTTTTTTTGTGCTAATGTTTCTATATGTATTTTGAATCGGTATTTGGACATTTGTCATCAATAAATGATGTTGCTTGGATTTTAAATTGGGAGTCATTTATTGTTACATAAAGGAGATGAAGCACTAAAATTTTTTTCCCCTTCAATATTCAAAGAAACAAGTAAAACTAAAAAAAAAAAAAAAAAAGAAATTGAGGGTAAATTCTTTCAGATATTCAGGTTAAGGAGTGGAACTATTAGATGTCTAAAGTTTTCCGGCAACTTGTGAACGGTATAAATACTCATCGTAGAAGCTCATTTTATCAAAATCTCTACTTCATGATTTAACCTATTCTTAATTCTTCTGAAATTAGAATTCAACTTTTTTACTTTTCTCTATAAAATTGAAAAAAAAAAGGTTAATAATTATCTGATTTTGAATTTTTTTTCCTCAAAATAATAATATTGTCATAAATATATATTATCATAAAAAATTTCTAATTAAAGTATTGAAAATATTTACTATTAAAATATTAAAATATTTCTATCTTCTTAATGATATTTATTATTAAAGTATAAAAAGTATTATTTATATTAATATTAAAATATTTAAAATTATACTATTTATTATTTGAATATTATGTCTATTAATATAAACTATTAAAACTAGTAATATCTAATATGACATTTTAAAATATTATATTGTTAAAATAGTTATATTTTTTATTAAATTTAAACAATATTATTTATTTTATATTTTTAGTAATATAATAATATTTTGTATTAAAATATTAGAAACGCTATATTTATTATTCTTGGATAAAATTAAGTAATAATTAAAATATTTAAATTTGAAGAAGTATTTATATTATTATTAAAGTATTATTAAAATTGTATATTGTTTTTATCATGAAAATAATAAAAAAGGTTATTTATAATATTCCTTTTTTTTATTAAAATAGTAATATATACTATTTATTAAAATATAAAATATTTATTGTTAATAATATACAAAATATAAAATAATAAAAACATTTTATAATAATATTTTAATATTTTTAAATATGTTCTTTTCAAAATTAAATATCTAACCAAAAAAGAAGTAAACTTAAATAAAATAATTTTTAATCATACTAAGAATAATATTTCAGATCAAGTCTAACTAGATTCAAACTTAAAATTTTAAATTCATATTCAAGGTTCAACTTGAATTGGACCAAGTTCATGGATAGGAAAAGTAATCCGATCTATGAATAATTTTTTTTTTTTTTTGAAAATTTTCCTCTCTTTCTTTAAGGTGAAAGACAATTACTAATTCTTTGATTTTTTTTCATTAACCATCAAAACCTTTTATATTAACTAATCAAATTTTTATCAATAGTTTATATGTGTGGAATATTAACTTTATTATTACATTGATCTCATTGAAATTGAGCAAAAGATTAAACAAATAGGTCAATGAACTACATTTTTCTATCCGTTTGTCTTACTAATCCTTGTCGTCAATCATCTCTGTCTTTTCTCCCTTACTCTGCTTTCAGTCATTTGTTTTCTTTCCCTTTTTTCCTCTCGGCCTTTCCACGCTTTATCATTGTTCCTGTCTACTGCTATCTTATCATTCGTGTTTGGTAATAACTCAACAACCACATTCATTGCTCAAACGAGTAGATGGAGAGTGGAAGAGAGGATGAGCAGTCACAGGTTCAGCTCAAAGATTTTTTCCATGACCATCTCTTTTTGTTCAACGGTGACCAATACAATAAACGCAAAGAAACTTGCTGCTCAGCTTGCGGGAATCCATTATTATGCAGCCAAAGCTATAGTTGTAAGGAATGCGATGGGTTTCATCTCCATAAAAAAATGTGGCGATGCACCTGTAGAACTTGACCATCACCCTCTCCATTGGGAGCACCCTGTTCTCATCCTTTGAAAAGGTATGGGCTTTTGTGATTTATGCCATTAATCATCTCAGAATTTCATTTATCGATGTCCTTTTTCTGATTTTTCCCTTGATGTCAAATGTCGTAGTGTGAATTTCCTGGAATTCAAGTACAATGTCCACTTTCATCCATTGCTCTTCATTGAAAATCATAAAGATAAACTGAAAAAATTTGTTTGCTTCACCTGTGAAGAACCATTAGTAGATTCTATATATGTTTGCATTGATTGTAGAGTTTATTTTCACAAGAAATGTGCTCAATTACCCACTGAAATCAATCACCCCTGCCATCGGTTACACCCTCTTGTTCTTCATTGTAGTGACAAAGGGAAACTCTTTTGTAAGGTTTGCCTAAATGATCATTTTGGGTAATTTTATCGTTGTTCTCCTTGCAATTTTGAAATTCACATCGAATCTTTTTGGCCACATCCTATTATTGAAGATAAAACTCGTCATGACCATCCATTCAGCTTGTTTTTGAGACAAGGATCATTTATTTATGATGCATGTGGTGCTAAGGGAAATAATCTTTGCTATATATGTTCTATATGTCATATCCAAGTTCATAAGAAGTGCACTTCATTGCCACGCATTATCAAAATCTCAAGGCATGACCATTTTGTTTTCCTCAAGTATTTGAAGCAAGAAAAGGAGATTGAAAAGCAAGATTACAAGATTTGTTATCATGAAATGAAAAGAGAGTATGGGTGTTATTGTTGCTTGAAGGAGGATTGCAATTACATTATTCATGTGAATTGTGCTGTTGAGGATAAGGATTTGTACTACATGGTTGATTCAGAAAATCAAGATGAGCCCATCGAAAATTTTATAGAATCCTCTATCACTTGTGTCATTGAGGTAAACGAATGTGGAGAAGCAACAAAGATAAAACAGTTCAGCCATGAACATTGCTTAAGTTTAGAAGACACGAACAGGGATGATGATGACAAACATTGTGATGGATGCACATTATCCGTCTTGGATTCATTTTACTCTTGTTTGCAATGCAACTTCGTTCTCCATAAATCTTGTGCCGAAGTACCAATGAAAAAGCATCATTGGTTTGATCCCTGCAAAACCTTAAATCAAATTGCATTTTCGAATGTAATGGTTGTCTTCAACTCTGCGGTGGTTTCATCTACAATTGTGATGAATGTGATCTCTCATTTTGCCTCAAATGTGCTACAATTTCGGATACCCTCTCATATCCAGGTCATGAACATCCCCTCTTTTAAGATCGCAAATATAAAGGGAAATGCACTGCTTGTGGTATTGAGGTTTATCATGCATACAGATATATGTAAGGATTGCAATTCTGCTTTGCATTTTGAATGCATTACACTTCCACATGTAGCGCGACATAAGTGTGATAAACGCTTTATAGAACTTAGTTATCATGATGGAAACGATGATCCAGAACAACATTATTGTGATATTTGTGAAGAAAGAAGAGATCCAAATAATTAGTTTTATCTTTGCTCCATTTGTGATAATTCTGTTCATCTCAAAAGTGTTCCTGGAGGATAACCATTTATTAAGGCTGGGAATATATACACGTATGAGGGTCACTCACACCCCCTCACATTTGTCAGAAAGATCTACTATTACCCAAAATGTGTTATATGTGGTAAAGTTTGCCAAGATTGGCTCTTAAAAGTGTTGTTTATGCAACTATGTTGTTCACTGGAAATGTATATCTCCATTTCCATTTGGACGAAGGTGGTGTTGGATTGCAATGGATGATCAATTATGCTATCACGAAGTATGGTAGAGCATTTATTCTTCTATCTTCTTAGAATTCTGCCATAAATGGCATTTGTCTGGAAAGAAACAAAAGGATTCTTGTTGTTGTACTATGACTAATGTTGCTAATACAAGCATTAGTAGACAATTATCTAGTAGTTGCAGTTTTTGTCTAATTTTTCTATGTGTATAGATATTGTAACTTGTGTTATGGATAGCGGCCAAACTTATAAAATTTATTTTTACATTTTTCTGAATTCTTCTTCAGCTAATTGCAGATGGTCTTGCATCTTTCCTGTTTCACATTGTCAAACACGGTTAGTTTTTCTCCTACTGCATGCCTAGACCTGAACACAGTGATGTAAGTGCTGCATGATGAAAGGAAAACGATAATTATTTTCAAAGGGCAAGTATGTATTTTGGGGAATTTTTTGTGTTTTTCTTGACTAGGCTGAAATTACTTAGAACCTCATGTTTTGTAACTAATACAAAAAATAAATAAATAAATAAAGAGCAAATGTTTTGATGTGTCCTAGTTCAAGCTCTGTTGAAGGTTCCCCTTTTCTTCCCCGAAATGAAGAAATTGTTACTTATAAATTCTATTACTTTAATTGATTTCATTTCATTCATTTTGAATTGCATAGTTGATAAACTACCTTAATTTTGGCTTCTCAACCTAGTGTTGATAAGGCTACATGGTCAAAAACACCATTGGACAAAAATTTAATAATTATTCAAGTGTTTATCATTTTATTGCAATCAATTGAATCTTCAAATATCTAATTTCATCAATTAAATTCTTTTTAGATAAAAATTTGTCAACCATTAACATCAATTTCTTTCTAATTAAGGATTCTATTAAGGTAAAAATAGATATTTAAAAGTTTAATTAAGTGAAAATAGATATTTAAGAGTTCAATTGATTAGAAATAGAAAATTCAAGATTTGATTGATTGTAATAAAATGTCAAAAGTAAATGTGTTCATGGATTGGGTTGGGTTTTTGTTTGATATTAATATCTTATATACTTGTTTAGGTTTAGCTCGTTTCAAAATTTCTGACTTTAAAATTTTCTCAAACTTGATCTAAATTTTAAAAAAAATCCCAAATCGATCCATTCAACTTAATTTATTATAATAAAAATTAAAAAAATGTGATTGAATTAATTTTAATGGGATTATATTCAATTCACGTATATACAAAAATTAAAATTAAAAATTAAAATTATATAAGAATAAACATTAAGTTTAATAAAATGTATATAATTTTTATTTTTAATTTTTATATATATGTTAATTAATTTATATAATTTATATATATATAAAATAAAATTTATATATATGTAGCTTCAGGTCGGTTTGAGCATAGGTTTTAAATTTTTTATTCAAGGTCCAATCTAAAATTTAAATGGACCTAAAAATTATGTTCAAGCCTATTTAACTAATTTTAATTTTTTGTTTAAACCCTCTCAAAACTTAGATGGATCTTCGGGCTTGGACAGATAGCCTGGTTCTTACTTAAATTATTATTAAATTATTATTCAAGATTTTTTTGACATTTTTACCTTTTGATAAATTACCTTAAGCCAATTACCACTCCAATTTTGGTTAGTCTACAATCACCAAAGTAATTGATCATACAATAACATAATTTATCTCTTTTCCTTTATATAAATATATATATATATATAATAACAAAGATAGACTCATATCTAAATTTAGTAATTCGTGTATTTATATTAGATAAAACATTGATGATTCATATATTTTAATTATGTTTTATATGAACATTGTATAACATAATTTTTATCAAAATGAAAATAAAATTTTTTTTTTATTTTTTTAAATTCATATATAATTTTTGATAAAATTTTAAACTCACTTTCATTTTTTCTTTTCTTGTATAGTGTCATATTTTGAATTCTCAAATCTAGCCATACCAAATAGCACCATTCACTAATATCCAATTGCCATACATTGCATTCCATAGACTCATACGTGATGAGACAATGCATAGAAATTGGAGTTAAACAAGGTTTGAAAAATGTTGAAAGATGAAGATTTAGCTCCATTTGCTGTTAGACTATGACGAGATTCACTGTCAAAAGGAGTTAAGCTTCCTGTTTTCATATTGAAAAGCTTGTGTTTTTACAGGTATAGGAAGTTCGCTAAAAGAAATTAGAGCTAGACGCCGGGAAGAAAGCAATTCTGTTCGTAATTATTTGAGTTTGATAACAAAAAGATTTAGTGGGCAAGACAATTCAATTATGGTTAAAAGTTAAAGCTCCTTGATCTAGTGAGATCAAGCTTGTCAGGTCATTGGGTAAATTTTTTTTTTACGAAGGAGATCATAGATTGAAGTATAAGGAAAAGGTTGTAAATATTAGGATTTGAACTCAATCTTGTTGAACGTCAGCCCTTAAAACGATTGCATGAATTACCGTAATTAAGCGCTTTAAATATAGTCATTTGGTATTTTTTCTTGCAAGTTGTGTCATGTCCAAAGACTAAAGTTCAAGGGTCTCCCAACTTTTAAACCCAACTTTTCACTCTGAAACAAGCTTCATGAGAGATACTAAGATAAGTTTGGACCAAAATGGGTTCCTCTTTTATGTGGGTGATCCCATGAGAGATATCAGGGTTGAGTTAGGTCTGGACCAAAATAGATATATCTCTTCAATGGGTGAAAGAGGAGACAACGAGAGCATTTAGCACTTGAGTGAGGGAAAATCTCACAAACCCACATTTATAAGACAAGGAGGTTATTTTGGGCTTTTAAAACTTGGGTCTATGATGTAGCTTTAAAAGCTCTCTTGGACTGAAAATGTGGCCGCTTGATGGATGACCCCAGTGTCGTTTTTCAGCCCAAGTCAATTTAGAGGTAGGCACAATGGTCCAGCATCATAAATAGAACATTCAGTCCTTTTCATCCTGTGACAACAGCTTTGAAATGTGCTCTGTGCCAAACATTCTAAACCCCCAAGCAACAAGCACATAAATTGTTTCTCCGTTTTTTGGGCTCTTTATTGACAGATTTGGCTCATGACATTCCAAAACTTGGAGTTTACAATTAATAATTTATGCTTTTCAAAAGAAAATCGATTATGTTCATTTCAGGTCATTAGTTTAATGTTTCAGACTCAGAACTGCAACCTTTAATCTGATATGATCACATGAATATGTAAACAGGCCACCGAAATTGGAGTGCAATGAATTGCCTAGCTAATGCAGTCTCTGCACCGGTTATTAATTTTTTTTACAAAGAAAGATATAACTTAGAAATAAAAAAGGATTACTGAAATTTAAATTTTAAATTTATTAAAAGTTATATTTTAACAGTGATTATAAAAATCATCTGAATTAAATTTCATATTGTGATTATTAAATTATTTAGTTCCAAGCGAAAGTCACAACCTAAATATTGTTAAAAGACGGTTGGTCTGGATAACAGAAGACAATTGATCCACACAGCTTTTAATCACTAGTCATTTTGTTATTCCCTTTTGGACCATAAAATGAAATAATATTCCAGTTGAAATTGGGCAAATCCAGGAGTACTGTCTGATACATGGGTAGGCCCTGGAAAACGTGTGGGACCTTTCACCGGTGAGTCTTGCGCTAACCAGCATGTACCCAACATGATTATGGTTAAATCTCTCATTGAAAGCAAAATCAATAAACATCTTGGATTTAGTTCCTGTATACTTTGATGGAATTGCTGCAATGGTCTTAAAGCAAACAATGACCTTGACCCCTCCATGTGAAGCAAACCATTATTTTTAAAGGGTTTTTGTCTAATTTTTCAAACTTAGTTTTTGATCAATTAGTACTAAATGATTTTATTTTTTTTTTTACAAAAGAAAAACGGATGAAGAAGGAATTACGGATGTTGTTGGGATTTAAATATGCTTAAACCAAGAGCAAAGCTTTAAATTCGGTACCGATCGCTTTATTGCACCTCATACATATGCATTAGTCATGACTCATAATAGTGAAATCTGGTTGGTTGCGCTTTTAATGGCAGACATTCGCCATGGATGGTAGGTGTGCTTCATGGAATGAAAAAAGAAACCTCTCTGAAAATCCATGATTGCTTTGTCTGGTCATACTTTTGATCATTATCCAACTTTAATATAACCAAAAGCAAAAGCAAAGAGAAAGGAAATGGCACGGGACCACAATGGAGAACATTAATTTAATAGAAACACATAATCTTAAATTTGGCTACATCAGAAGTTACATAAAAGGTTTCTTACTTATCTGGAAAATTTGGAACTTCATTTCGGATTCCATTCATATACATAATTAGGAAAGTCTTGCATAAATTAAAGACATTTCAAGTCTCCATCCAACATTGGAATTTGGAGGGTAGTCAGGATATTGGATTCCTAAGGCAAAAACTAGTGTACAAAATTCTGAATTGGCACATAAATGGCCATCTAATTCATGCTGGTTTACCCTTCTTTTTTTTTTTAATGTGAACAGCATGAAAATGATGGCATATTTGAGAATTGATTGATGCAATTGGTATTGTTCAATGGAGAACAACCTTCTGGTACTTGGTGTTAGGAGAAGAATCGGAGCCTTCATAGTTCTCTGGACCCCTCTTCTTGCTTGAACAACCATTAAGATTGTTGACAGAGTCTTGGTTTAAGAGATGCTGCGTGGAGGAAGATATCGCCACAGGTGGGATGTCAATGGAGGTAAGTTGGGGAGGAGGATGCTGCCATTGAGGAAGTGGTCCGGCCAAGAGAAGGTTCTGCAGGAGTGGACCGGCGTCCTTCACTGCCTGCAGCAGCTTTCCTTTCTCTGGAAGTGGCCTGTTAGCTGCTAGTTTCGAGGCCTCTTGTGGAAGTGGTGATTTTGGTTGTAATGGCAGATGCACAACAGGGAGAATTGAGTCTAAACTTGGGGATGAAATCTTGCTTCTATTGCTATCAGAACTTGAGTTATGGTTGTTGGAGTCACCAGGTTTAGATTCATCTTCACTGCTACTAGAAACCCCAGAAAGTGAAGCAGTTTCTTGCTGCTGTTGTTGATGCGTATGCTCTTTCTGTTGCAGTTGTTGCTGAAGTATGAATTTCTCCAACATCATCTTCTGGCATCTAGCTTGAGCTTCATCTCTCTCTTTCAGTGTCTTGATAAGAACATCCTTGAGATGAATCAATTCAAGCTCTCTTCTAGTGATCTCCTCTTTAGCTGATATCAGTGTTGTCTCTAGCTCCAAGGTTGTAAACAAGAGAGTATGCTTTAACTCTTCCATTCCCTGTCAATTGCAGAAAAAAAAGTCAGAAACTGAACACTTTTTTTAACCCCTGAAGTACAGTACTAAACCAAGAAAAACAATTCCAGACCCTATTGAGAGCAAGCAGGCCTAAAGATCTTAAAGAGTCCCTTACCTCTTCCCCATACCAATATCCCCAGCTGAGTGGACTGCATTGGTCTTCCATTGCTTTGCCAAGGTCTGAATCAGAGGTACAAGTTAGGAAATGTGGTTTATTCAGCTTCTTTATAGGAGTTGAAACACCCTGTTCCTGTTTACATTAGCCTTTCCCTATTTCTTTGTTGTCATTCATGGTCATGGGACAAGAGATTGGACAAAGAACAGATCAAGCCAAAAGCTCAGATAGGCAAAACATGTTTAGTGCAACTACCTTTTATACAGTTAGATTGAAGGGAATGTGAAATCAGCCGTAAAGGTGGAGCCAAAATCCTTCAAGTTGCAACTTTTTGGCCATATGCATGCTTGCTGCAGTAGTTGGCTCGTGTGCACATGTAAACGTGAAAAGGTAAAATTTTTATGTTCTTTGTTGCCAAAAAATTTGGCTCACGAAATAGAATAAGACAAGATATAATGAACAGTTGCGATAATGATCTACAATCAGTCACTAGATATAATTTTCTTGAGTTATAAGTCATTCAAATGTTAGGGAATTTGCATCTAGCATTTGGCATGATCAATGAAAGATATCATGTGCTACTAGTAATATGGTTTTCTTATATTGGGAATTATTATAATTACTATTCAAGTATTATTTATTCTTCTTACGATAAAATTTGATTCTACCTTTAATTTAATTAGGATCCCTCATTTTGATTTCATCAATTATATAAAAAAAACTAAGTATATGTTTAATTTATAAGATAATGGATAAAATAGAATAATAATCAAACTTATGTCATATTTGATTTGTATTTAAATATAATGATAAGATAACAAGGAGAATTAATCATCTTTTTTATATATGATGATTTAATCTTCTAAAAAATAATGAGAATTATTTTTAATTTATGGGATTGAATTTATTTTTTTATTAATATCCTTAAAATTATATCAATAATTTAAATTATTTAAATTTTGAAGAAAAATAATTTTGATCAATAAATAAAATTATTTTATCTTAATTCTTACACACATTAAGCACAAAATGGAATAATATTATTTATGCACCAAACATATCATAAAATTATATTTTTTGGTATTGTTGACAAACTTTACCTTTAAAAAATGTGGGCTGACCGCTATGGAAAAAATCTATGATAAAATATCAAAGGGTCAACATTTCCATCTCAAATCAAAATGCTAATGTAAACTAGTGGCATATGATTGTTCATCTCTATGTAAAAGGGTTTTAGGTTTATATCTTATTGATGACCCGTTTTTATCCTAAATTCTTAATATTTTAATTTTAGAGTTAGAACTTATATTAATCCTAAATCGATTTATGTATAGAAAAAATTAAAAAAAAAATTGGTGCTTGGTCTAATTTATTTATATAATTATTTTTAAAAGGTGATATTTAATAAATTTAGAGTTTAAATTATCCTAACATTTACAACCTTTTCATTAATCTCAAGTTGAGACTTTTTTTTTTTGTATAAAAAAATATCTAAAAAGCCACAATTGTCTTCTTATTCCCAAAATCATATAAAACAAAAGATCATTCACTGTGGATACGAAGAAGTGTTTTTTTTTTTTTTAAATCAATATGAATCAAAGTGACCTGTTTAGTCTACTACTGCTAGGAATTCTTTGGTTAGATTAAAAGAGAAAATTTATTTCTTTTTTATAAATAATGTCACAATTTGAGAATAAAAAAATATGTTGTAAGTGTTAAAATTTTAATTGTAAATTTATTAAATATTATATTTTAAAAATAATTATATAAATTAATTGATCGATTGAGTTTCGAATTCAAAGAAAGTCTTACTTTAATAGATGATTAAAGCCAAATGAAAATACACTTTGAAATATGATTAAAGCCATATGATCTACAACTACTTTCTTGCCTTAGCTTAGGTTTTCTTTTTTGACTCTTAAAAGGAAAATGTTGCTATTGATAGAGCGGATACTATACCATAAAGCATACCCTAATGGAATGTAATCCTGCTTTTTGACAAAGGGGAATTTGCAAAAAATAGCTATCCTATCAACCCTATACAAGAGGGCTTTTTTTTTGTTTTGTACATCCAAAAGGGATAATACTCTTTTTTTTTTTTGAACTAATTATTCAGAAAAATAAAATAAAATGTAAGGTGAAAAGAAAAAAGATTAGATAAATTATTAAATAAAATTATAGATATAAGATATATATTTGGAACATTATTAAATATATTTTATAATTTTAAACACGATATAATAATAAGATACAAAAATAATATAAAAATATACAAAAATGATATAATTTAAAATTTTAATAAAAATTATATATCAATTTGACAAAAATTAAAAAATGTATTTCGTGTTAGATGTATCAATATGAATTTAACATAATAATTTTTATATTTAATATAAAATAAACATAATAAATATATACAAATTATTAAATTTATTATTAAAGATATGGTGTTTAAGAATGTTTGACTACAAAGATTCTAGGATTTTTTAAAGTATAAAGTTTAATTAACAATATAATTCGAAGAAATGAGAAATACTTTTTGTATTTATTAAAAATATTATTGTAAATTGAAGTAATGGATGTAAAACAACTTCATCATCTAACTTTGATCTTCTACATATCTTCTAATGAGGTATAAGGAGATAAAGAGATAACATTGTTAACTTATGGCATTGAGACCCTTATCAGTTCTACCACTTTTTTATTGAATTTGAGATTATAAAAAAATTTAATCATGATCATTGAGAAATAAGTTAAAAACTACAATAGTTTGAAAAATAAGTTTTCAAAACACAATCATTTGATAAAAAAACAAACTATTTATACCCACGTAAATTTGACTATTTTATTTTAAAAAGTAAAAGAGTTAAAATTACATTATGTATTTAAAAATTAAAAGTTTTATGGCCTGAATTAAGTTTTGCAAAATGTAATTTCAACACAAGTATCATTAAATATAAATCATATTATTATTTTCCTTTTATTTAAGAGGAATTGCATGTAGTTTAGTTCAATTCAAATTATTTATGTCAATAGGACAATAACTATACAAATAAATTTGTATGTATCAACTATCAACCCTACGTATGTGATGTGAGCCCACGCGTATCATGATTAAATACATTGAGCCCACGCGGCGTATGCTTAGGGACAACCATTCCCCACCTTGAAATTTTACACAGTTCATTGGACTAATCTTTTATTATTTTTAAGCAATATTTATTTTTTAAAAAAATAGTCCAAATTAAAATGTTGACAATGAAGCTTCACAATAATTTGTCAAGATTTGTTATATTTCAAATAAATATAATAATTCATATATTTTTATCATATTTATTTATGTCAAATACCTATAAAAAAATAAAAATTATCGTATGTAATATAAAATATATAATTTAAATTTATATAAAAAATTTATCAAAATTTTAATTCATATTATTTTCATGTTATATTATTATATTATATTTAAAATTATTAAATTTAATGTCAAATACCAAGATCAAACACCCCTCCCCTCAATATCTCTTTTTCTTTCTCATCCAACTTGAAATTATGTCTAGAATAACGTGTACATTAGTATCTTTTTAATTCTCTCTCAATGATTTTCAAAAGTTCCCACCAAAAATTTGGTAAAGAAAAGGAATAAAATGGTAGGTCCTCAAACTCCACATGAATCCTCCCTTTTGAACAACAAGTATATCGCCGTTAAAGGGAAAAAAAGTTTTCAACCAAAGGCTTCCATTTTGACCAATCCCCTTTTTTTGGCCTAACATTAAACCCATGTTAACGCGTGGGTCCTTCACCTCCTCTACATAATTTGAAAAAAGAAAATTAATATGAAGTTTTTTTCAGTAAAATTTAGGAAATTTTTTATTAAAAATATTTTAATAAAAATTCAAATCAAAAATCAAAATTAATGAATTGATAGAATTTAATAAAAATATCAATAATTTATATAAAAAATTTAAAATATAATTTATAATTTAAATTTGATGAATAATTATTCAATGATAAAATTTTGTCAAAATTTTTATTAAAAATACTTATGTAAAAAATATGTCAATTTTTTTTTTCAAATTTTACTTACTTAATCTATATAATAGATATTTCAATTTTAATTTTTATTAAATCATTTCTAATAAAAAATTTAGAAACTTTATTTAAAAAACTTAACTAATTAAATCTTTCCTATTTACACATCCCACGGTCACATCTGCACATGTATTTAGCTTTGGGTTTACTTTCATCTTTTGATTTTTTGTGAGGTCTTTTTTTTCGGGTGCAATCAAAATCTGACACATTACAACCTTAGGAAAATTGTATTTTCAATTGCGTATTCAATCAATTTCAACGAAAAGACCAGAGATTAAAATGGTAGAATATAGAGGGCTTTGAAGAAAAATTATATAAAACGACAATATTTATTAATTTATTTAATTTTTGACATGTAATCATACTTTTGAACACGTCAAGCTTCACTTTTTAATCATATTTAACGAGTATAATATTAATCTCTATCTAATTAATTATAATTATCAATTTTTTATAGTTGATGAAATTTTTGTAAAATTGTGTGTATATGGTATCATTTAATAACATAATTTATTTTTTTTTATACATATATAAAGAAATTTAAGAAAAAAAAATTTGAATCTTCAATTTTAACCTTTCTAAAGATGAATACCATTTGTTTGATTAAGCTTGAATTGTTCAGAAAGATGTAATTTAGGAATAGTTAAAGATATTGTAAGAGTTAAAATTTGGACTTTAAATTATTTTTTGAAAATGATTATATGAATTAATTTAGTTAATTAAGAGTTTCTCTTTATTCGTTTTTAACCTTTTAATCCTAATTTTATAGCTAAAATTGGAATTTTTTACCCTTCTGATAATTTGAAATTAAAATTGTTGGATTCAAAGTCAAGTTCTCTTTTAAAGAGTTAAATTTTGATTATTATTACCATCTCTTAAATCTTAAATTCAGTCAATAAATGTGTGATTTGTTGATAAAATATTAAATTTATAATTTTAATGATG